GGTCATTACAAAAACTTGCCTACTAGGATTCAACTTAAGTCTCTCGTTAGGAAGAGATCTTAGGTTTGAATCTGAGGGATGTGATAGAAAGTCGTGAGGGGGTAAGTGTGGTCAGAAGCTCCCCCAAAACCGACAGTACTTAAGCTAACAGCCTGTATAGAGATTTGAGTCGTTACAACGAACATCCCCAAAGGACAATCTAATCATGGCCCCATCAATTTTATCAAGCCATAACTTTCTAATAATTGATGATCTTAGGACACTAAAGTCATTAATTACTACAATTCATCAAGTCTGATCAGTCTTTCAAGATTGTTCTTTGAGAATGTACTTTTCTTTTAGTTTGAGGCTTGGTTAAAGTTGTGTAATTATAACTTTTCATTGTCGTTATGAATTTTAAATGTTCATTTTATGGCTTTCTCCTCAATACACTTTGCCTTGTGAAGGCAAAATGCTCAATACCTGTTGTTTACACCTTTTAATGCATTGCTAATAGGGAAAGTGTAAAACTTTTGATGATGGACCAATCAAAACATAAATGAAGATTATTTTCTTGAGCAAAATAAATGAAAGTTATAAAATTGTGCCATTAATCTTAAGATTGATTGATAAGTTTGATATTCATACATTCATTTAAACATTTTTATTTTATTTTTCACAACCCTGAGGGGTTGCTCAATTGGTCAGGCCTTGGATTTGCTCTCCAATGGTCACCAGTTCGAGTCCCCTCAGGGCCACTGAGGTGAGTACCCGGCCGTAAACTTTAGGGCCCCGTGGAATTAGTCGAGGTGCGAGCGAGCTGGCCCGAACATCCACAGTTATAAAAAAAAAAAATTTATTTTTCACAGTACTCAAGTGTAGGAGCTTAAATAACGGTTGCTTTTATTATGGATTTCACTGTTTTAAGTTGCCGGTGAAAGATGTTCGATGACAGGCGTCAGTGGTAACCATGACACGGAAACTTCCAGATCACTACATTTTGTGCTTCTAATTGTTAACAATAGGGCATTTTGGGACAGGCATCACCAGTTCCAAAGCCATCCCTAGTAGCTTCTAAGCGTACTAAACCCCAAATATTAGAATAAAGTTGAAGATCTACTAAATTAACTTCTATTGCACTTGCACACTGTCTTTTAGTTAAAACATTTGCTCAATTTGTTATCAGTTCGGTGCATAATTTTCTCACCCGAGACATGTATCTCAATTTCAGCTATTTGCATCTCAAGCTCAAATGAAATCACATATAACGGGGATTTTGATTATTAGTATGTCCAAGTTATAGCGGTGACAAGTTTAGTACAGGATACAACTAATTATTGAGTCCTAGTATTGATTTAGAATTTCTGTTGGTGGAGTTGATAATTTTTCCTTTAAAATTCTAGATTGCTGGGACAAGGATGAAGCTCCAGGATTTCCATTCTGGTGCTTCTGATTTTGGGGCTTCCGAGCATATCAATGCCTCACAAAGTTCATATCAGTCATTTGCTTCTTCTTCTGGACCCAATAGCAATTCTCATCAAGGTATGTATCAGAGCTATAATTCTCAGCATGGTGCATATTCAAACACGAATCCTTCTCAGGTCCCCTATTATGATTTGAATCCTCAACAAGCTGCATATGAGAACGTTTACTCACAGCAGGGTCCATACCAGAACCCAAGTACACAAGGTCCTTATCAATATTGACCCAATTTGGACAAATTGTACAATATTTTGAGTATGGTCCTGTAATATTTGCCGAGTCTCAAATGTTTGTGATCTTAGAATTAGCATGTGCTGTCTAACGTACTCTATCTGCCAGACTGAGTAATTTATAGACATTGTAGGTTCCCCTCAAGAGCAGAATTTTTTTGCTGATCCATTTTTCTTTTGCTTTTTAAAATTAGGTTATTGAGTGGTCTCAGGTGCCTTGATTTTTACAGCCTGCCTAAATTTCCTCATCAAATTTTTGAAAAGATAATATTATTTTTTAGTTATTAGTACTTTTTGAAATAATTTAATTTCGTTCTTAGTAGTAAACATTTTAAGATGCTTTTTGTGGTTTTGTCAAGCAATTCTTCTATACCGAGGCAAATGACTGAAATTGTTTTGCAGATTACACCCTTGTAAACTTTTAATTCTCCGCAAAGCTCGTTACTATGTAAAATAAAGAAAGAACGTAGACATAGATCAAAACTCCTCGACTGGTGAACTTATACTGGAATGCCTCGATTAACTGATTTTGAAGTAAGTTCTTCGATAACAACTTTTAAAACGTACAATAACTAAAAAACCTTTTAAAATAAAAGGAGTGATTTTAGAATAATTAATTAGTTATTATAGTTTAAAATTTCTATCCAACTTCAAACTACCTAACTAGCACTGCCTAATTATTAGAATTTATTTGACGTGCCAGCCAAGTAATTAACTTGTGTCGCTACCATAATGAATGACGTATATACATTGTTCGTGCGAAACTCGCAGGGTACGAGATCATTGACAAATAATAAAATTGATGAGTTGAGAATATCGTCTCACATGGAATAAATTCAATTCAAGTTTATTGACTTTTTATGGGATTCGAATTATGAATACAAAAGAGGGTTTGATTTTGTTTTATATTTATTTAATCTAAGAAAGCCGTAAAAATGTGATTTTTATCAATTTATGGATGATTGTATTCGATCTCGAATCAGCTTATTGCCATCTATTTCAATTCTTGTTTTGTAACCTAATTGTTCATGCATTCTTGATAATTGATAAAACTATGATATACAATTTTCTTTTTCAAGACAAATTAAATCTATCATAACCACGACCCGAATTTATTCCTAACCCGAATTCGAATGATTGTAATGTATTAAATTTTAGATTACATATATGATTATACACGTAATAAATATTATTCTTAACATCTATTGCATATATGTTAATTTTGTCGCATTGTAAATTTATTGTGAATCTCCCAACACTACAACAAGCAATCAATTATCTAATTGGTGGCCAATCAATTAAATAATGCAATTGGTGTGCAAAATTAATAAAAAATGCAAGAAATAAACTGAACTACGAGTTTTGAATTAAAACAAATAAATAATAGGGTTCATCTTCATCCAATATAAAAGCGGATCTAGCCTAACATGTTAATATATAGGGTTATGCTATGGGTACATAATCCATGACATAAATGTGTCTATAATGGACACTTTTATGGTCCATAATATATAGGGTGTGTTCGGTAGAGATTAAAATTGAATTTAAATTGAAAAATTAGTCGTTATTGTTGAATTTTATTAGATGAGTGAGATCAAATAACAACTATATTTTTAATTTTAATCGATTTTAATCTTAGCCAGACATGCTCATAAATTACAAAAATAATAATAGAAAAATATCACCAGAATAATGAAATAATTCAATAGATGTTGATCTTCAAATTTAATGTTGAATGCTTCAAAATCTTGATTCTTAATGTAATTGACCTTCAATTTTTTGCTATGGCTTGATCTCCTCTCTTTAAATCTAGCAATTGTCCACTTGTTCTAGATGAATTTGATGATAATATATTGTATAAAGAGGTAAGAGATTTTTTTTTTTTAATGTGTAGCTTTCGTTCTCTATTTATACGAGTTAGAAAATAGGTCAAAATCGTGCCCAATTCGGGTTCAAAAAGTGTTGGAATCGTGAAAAGAACCTAAAGATTCGTCTGCGGAAATAGCCCTCCCCCGCGCACCGTAGGGCCAAATGGCTCTCGGGTTGGTGAAAATAAGGTGCCCCGCGCCCATGTTTGCTTCGATTCGTCCCTGAACGATTTACAGTATTTTGATCATAACTTTCTTTGCAGATATCCCATTGAGGTTATTCAGAATGCGTTGAAAAGTTAATTCAAAGGGTTACAATTCTTCTTGGAATATAATTTTTTCAATTCTAACGTTTTCTATCCGAGAAATGGGTCTCAAGTTGATGCTAAAAATTTGGAGAATATCTTATTCAGCTTAAAATTGATTTGTAAAAGTATTTTCATTATATTTCACTCATTTGACCTCCAATTCCATCCAATTGATCTTATATAATCTTCAATCATCATTTTATGCTCCGTATCAACTATTGAATGTTTACACTTTGGTTCTCAAACTTTGAATTTCCTTTGTTTTCGCACGTTTTTCATTTCTTTATTCCAAATCCACCAATTTGCATTGAGTTTAACTTAACAAACATAAATAACACAAAATTAAGCTATAACTCATCCAAATCACTAACAAATACTCTAATTTAATAGTTTAGATAAGTGTACAAAATACACTTATCACTCATTCACATTACTAATCTAATAATTTGCATGATAATTTCACCCTAACAAGGTGGTCGATATGTGACAGTGCCTGCATACTTGATCACACTGTTTAATGTGCAACATTTCCTTTATATTTAATATTTTATAGTCCTGTCTAGTTCACTAACCAAACGACAAAGAGCCATGGATGAGCAAATGCCACAACGTTTACTGTAAGTTCGGTATGGTATACAGTAGTAAATATTCAATATGAGTGATGATATTCATCTTTATTGGGATTAAACACTAGTCTAGACGACAATTACGTGTCATTAAATGATATTCATTTAATTGTAAAGTCACGTGATTGTTACACTTTACATTATTGTCTAAATAATGTAGAAGTAGCACTATTCTTAAGAGAGAGTATGTAACTTTTCCTTTTCTTTTAACACTGTACATTGTCGTCTAATTCCTACTAATTATAATGCATGCGATGTCTGCATTAATTTCTACAACGAGGGAATAAATGTGTGACAGCCACTGCTTTCAAGAACAGCAATTTTTGTATCTTCATTCACTTATAAACATATTCTCAAATGATATATGGATCAAATAAAAATAAATTACATCTTTACCTCACATCAGTAACATGCAGAATTTTTGCAGTAAATTTCGAAATTAATGGAAGAAGAAGAAGAAAAAGAGTACTGGTAATTTAATGGATCTATTGCTCCATGGATCAACAATTAGAGCTTTACAATTTCTGGGATGTGCACTGGATACCTATTAATGCAATCTTGCCAGGGTCCATCAGTTGGGGTTTTGATTCTTCGATTACACTTCCAGACAGCACTGTTGCATTTGAATCCACTCCCAAATGCTATCTGCCAAATTCTGTCACCCTTTTTCATCCTCCCTTTAGCCTCAATGTAACTCAATTCATACCATAGAGAAGAGGACGACGTATTCCCAAACCGGTGCAGCGTCATTCTCGACGCCTCCACGTGCTCAGCCGACAACTGGAGGTTCTTTTGGAGTTCATCGATCACTGCCCGGCCTCCGGCGTGGATACAGAAGTGCTCAAAAGCTTGTTTGAAGTCAGGTATGTAGGGTTTCCATTTAGAGTTAAAGATTTTCCGGCCTATAAGAGTGAACAAGAAGAGGAGTTGTTCTGATGCAGGAAGGACTAAAGGTCCAATTGTGGTGATATTTGATTTCAAAGCTTCACCTGCTATGATCATTAGGTCTTTTGAGAGATTAATTCCAACTTTTCCCTGTGGATCTTCTTGTTCATACACACATTTATAAGCCTTATCGTCTGCCCCTTTGTGGGTTCGAACAACGTGGACTAATTTGTACTTGGCGCGATTTCTGTCACCCCTTTTGTTCGAAAGAAGAATCGCAGCACTGCCCACGCGAAACAAACAATTTGGAAGAAGCATGGCTCTTTCAGAACCTTGATAATAATTGGGAGTGATAATTTCAGTGCTGACAACAAGTGCATTTGAGTTTGGATGAACTTGAAGAAGATCCCGAGCCAAATCAATTGAGATCAAACCAGCACTACACCCCATGCCAGAAAGATTGAAGCTTTTTATATTACTCCTGAGTCTGTATTTATTCACAACCATGGCAGAAAGTGAAGGAGTTGGAGAAAACAAGCTACAATTTACTATAAGAATGTCTATATCTTTTGGTTTGATTCTTGTTTTCTGCATAAGGGAATCAATGGCTGAGAAAATTACAGCTTCTGCTTCACCTCTTGCAGCTTCCATGGTGGGATTTGGAGGTATGTAATGAATTGCAGGAGGCAAACTGGTTTCTTCACCGAGCCCGGATCGTTCAAGAATCCTCATTTGGAATTCAACACTTTTGGGATTATCTTTGAGGATTAATCTGGAGTGTTCCATGAAAGTCGAAAAGGGGACTCTGCTCGTGATCGGAGGCTTGTAGCAGGCGTAATCCACTAAGTATATGGATCGAGGCTTTGACATGAAGTACACAGTGGCAATTAAAGTTACGAGGAATGAGGAACACAAGATTTGGAAAAAATAAAATTGGAGTGAGTTCCAAATGGTGAGAATTTCTTCAGGGCCTAACCTGAGGATTTGAATGGAAACGGCCGCCATGATTGGAATGAACAAGAATGTGAGAATGTGATCGACAAGGTATCGGTAACCAAGTTTGACATACTTTGGCAACATTTCTGGCATCTTTAAAGAGAGAAGAAGTGGAGTTTTAGACAGAGAGAGCGGCGGCGGCGGCAGTGGTGGTGGGAGAGAAGGATAAATTTGAGGGACAGGAATGGAGAAGAAGTGGGATTTAAAGACTGAAAATGTGATCAGCGAGCAATTAATGAAGGCTGGTAGAAGGATTCAACTAGTTGAAATGCAACATGAGACACAAAAATGTTTCCTTTTATGTACCTACTTTATAAATTACTTTTTACTAACGATACTTATTTTCTAGACTTATTTTCTCTCTAGAAAATAAGTTTAAATTTAGACACTACGTCGAAAAATTTGCCCCTCGCATATAACATATAGATAAGTCACTGCAAAATAAGGTCCTGTTTGTTTCAGATTAAAATCAGATTTTAATCTAAGTCATAATCAAACAATCAATATTAACCGCCTTTTCACGAGTCTTACAACTTTTCAACCATGCATTTCAAAAACTTGTATCACAATCTACTAAAAATTTAATTTTAATTCCCACCAAACACCCACTAAAAGTCGGCATTACAAGTACTAAATTCACATAGTATGATTACAAGGTAATAAGCTTCGCGATAGATTATTTGGGTCGGGTCAGACCAAGTTGGAATTAGAGACAATAATCAATTAATGAAGAAGATCAAAGAGTTGGCATGGGCCTAAGTGCAGCTGCAACACCTACATTCATATAGATAATGACATTTTATCATGGCCCATATAATTTTTATATAATTTATTCAAAGAGAGACTGGTCAAGCCTCATGGCTCAAAGTTCCTTTGTGTAGATGCTATTTTGAATTAAAATTAAATTAGAGGAAGCAATAGTATGGACTAACTTTAACTAATTTCACCTAATAATAAATTTCTGTTATCAAAATTGGCATTCAGATCAACAAATGCTAATTACTAGTTGAGAATTGCAAGTAAGATGCTTATTTATTTTTTAAGTACTGCTATTTAAATATATTTTAATGATTTTATACCTCTAACTTACCTAAAAATAATATTTGACAAAAAATTTTAAATAAGATGTTTACATTAACTATTAATTATAAGTAAGATATGTTAAGAAATAAAATTTCACATCGAATAAAGATAAAAATATAGATTAATTTATAAGGGTTTGAACTATTCCTTTTAATAAGGTTGACATTTTAAAATGGAAAAAATTCATATATAAAATCTACCATACATACCATTTCAAAAATAAGAAAATAACTTTGAAATTTCTAAAATCAGATATTTTAACATATATATATATATATATATATAACCCACCCCACCCCACCCCCACCACCTCTATCGCTCCGGCGATCGTTTCGGCGACTACTCCGGTGATGGTTTCGATGACTTCTTCGATTTCAGAGACTATTCTGATGACCGTTCCGACGACTGATCCGATTCCGACGACTATTCTGGTCACAGATAATTTTATTGGTCACTGATAAAAAAATTACAGGTCACAGTTATGTTATTTTTTGTTTATCGGTCACAGCTCACAAATTTTGTAGATCACGAATTATTTCGAGATCACAAATCAATAAAATTATAGGTTACAGATTATTTTATTGGTCACAGATTAAAAAATTATAGGTCACAAATATCCATGAGTCACATATTTTCAAATTTATTGGTCACGGATTAATTTTTAGTCACAAATTGTCAAATTTTAAGGTCATAGTCAATCCATTATGTGATTTTTTTTGTAACCACCACCGACTTCTACTTGGGACCACCACCTCACGACTGCCACAGTCGCTACCATCACCACCACACCATGGCCTCCAGCAACCATCACCACCACAAAATGGCGCCCCTGCCACCGCCAAATCGCTCGCCACCACAAAACTCACCTCCACCGTCAGATCTACCATCGCCATTAGACCCACCACTATCGCCAACAACCACACAAATCATCACGGCCAGATCGTAGCTACTGCAGATCTCCACCAGATTCGCCAATAGTGGGTACACATTTAATTGATCCAATTGCTGCTCAATTGCCTCAAGATTTGATCCCCAAAGTCGTGACTAGGACAGTTTCGTTAATTGCAATTGGTGGCCAAATTACACAACATCGATCTCCAGCACCACCACACAAATTACACAAATCAGCACACACAAATAACACAAATCAGCCACCTCCACTGCCTGTCGGCGCTCAGATCGATGCTGTGATGACTTCGCAACAGTCGTGGCATCAAAGCTCGTTGCGGCCGGAGAGGTGCATCGAAGCTCGTCACGGCCACCTCCACCACCTACCGGCAGTGAACAAAGACGATGGAGAGGGAAAATGGTCCCTGGTAGTGGGCGAAGACGGCGGGTAAGGGAGATGAAAGGAGTGAGACGGAGAGAGAGAGTGAGAGAGGAGTGAGAGAGACATGATTTAGGGTCTGAAAATTAATTTAGGGGGTGGAGTGTATATATATTAATTTTTATAATATTATTATTAATATTTAATTAAATATAAAAAAAATTTGTATCTATATATAAAATATTTGATTTTTGAAAATTAAAACTTGACATCTGATTTTTGAATTTAGATCTCCAAAAGTAGAGAATTGGGTAATTTGCTCTTTTAAAATGGATCTCTAAATTTTAATATGGTATCAGAGTCTATTAATCTCTAATGAGCAATTCGATTGAAACTAAAAAATGAGCACATGATTTCAAAATTGGTCTGCTCAAACGAGACACCATCTTCCGGAGGCATGTTAAGAGATAAAATCTCATATAGAATAAAGATGAAAATATAGACCAATTTATAAAGGTTTTGATTATTCCTTTTAATAAGATTGACTTTTAAAGATGGATCCTCAAGTCTTATATTCGATTCACCAACCCTAAGATGCTTTTGTTGACTATTAGTTATTTATAGTTAATCATAACGAAATTTATTCATCAATTAATTGATTTTCTGAAATAATTTTTACAAGTATTTATTCAATTTCAATTAAATCCCGATCAAAAAGAGTTGTCAATTTATATTAGATACGATTGAGAGTAGTCGAGTCGATCACTTCAAGCAACCTGGCCACTTGATTGTTGGAGTTGGAGGTTGGAAAGATTCCTTGCTAATCTATTAAATACAATTACAAATGCTTGACCAGTTCTATTCAAGCAACCACTCCATTCAATTCGCACAACTTAATCGCTATTTGTCGTAGCTAATTACAAGAGCTTAAGCTAAATGCTCGACGTTCGCTCGAAAACGAAAAACGAATGGAACGGAAAATAAATCTTCGAACGTTAGATTAAGTTTGAACGAATATTTTCTGTATAAATTTTCGCTTGAAAAGGAAATAAGTATATTGTGAGTACGAGACAAAAAGTGAATCATAAATGAGCAACTCTTCGATCTCTTAACACGTGACGTGACGAACGTGTTTGATCATGGAGGCAACCTTTTCCCCTAAACAATGTGATTGCTATAATTGCGACTGCACAAGGACATCTACTAACCGTTTTTTCTAGTACGAATGTTACTTTATCATAACATAACATTAATCAAATGTTTTTTTGGCTGAAAAAATCACCAATTTTATCAAATATACGAGGAAAAAAAGATAATTTATCTTCGAGTTTATCTGGTAAAGAGTGTAAGTTAAGAGACGTTCTGTCACGGATCAATTATCAAGAAAGCTAAGTACGTAGCAAAATTCTCGAAAATTATATACAACAAACCCAGAAAATATATTTTTCACCAGAGAACTTTTTCGTAACACTTGCAATTAAAATGAAAAGGAAAAGGAAAATGAAGTTATCCATCCCCTTCTAGCTAGTTTGCACAAGGCCACCCTCCGATTTCTCAAATTCATTTTCAATCATACATTTTATATGATCCACGACTTTTATCAACTTTTTAATCATACATTTCATGAGATTTATAATTTTTATTAATTTTTCAATAACAAATTTCATCAAATTTTTTTTATTATTATTTTTTTTACGAAACTAAACAGGTGCGGCAAATTAATTCTCCCAGTGACAGCTTGAAGATCGAATTAATTTGGAAAAGGACCTTAAACTAAACTGTACTACATATTGACAACCAAGACACTGGGATTGGAACCGTCCAACTTGATTCATAACCCATTCTGGTTTAACATTTTCTTAAAAATGGTTTAGATTTGACCAGTTATACTTCAATGCAGCAACCCAACCCATTTGCTATCTAGCAGGTCAGGAAAAGACGTTGAAGGTGGCTGAAATTTAAAAAAATAAATAAAAAAATTAGTGAACTCGCGTCGTAAGAGATGCTCTATGCCACACCAAATATAGTTTAAAAAGCTAAGCTTATGACGCAAATGACAAAATGAGTCATATACATAAATAAGTATAAACATATCAATAATTAAGATGTCTAAATAAATCTTTGTAACTTTTCTTGCCAAATACAAAAAATGTGCAAAATGATGATAAATATGAACAAATGATATATACACACCAACAAAAAATTAAGAAAAACATATTTGCACTATTACGAGACTCAAGGCCTAAAAAGAACAACAAATCATTTCAATTATTAATGATTTTTATTTAAAATACACCGCTCTGAAAATATTATCTAATATGGACATTAGT